AATGTTGTGAATTATTAGGAGTTTGCGAGGCTGAATTGTGAAAGAAGAAGCTTGGTGATAGTTGTTGAGAGGAAAAGGCGTTGCAAGTAACTTCGTGTACCTGAGCCTGCAGAGTTTCATCGGAAAGCAGATTTGTAATTTTTTGTCATGATACACAAACGGCGCGTCGAAATTCCTTCTACCCCATTGCCCACTCGCGCTGAGAGCGAGGGCCGCTGATTATTTATTTAGTTAATGAATGTTGAGCAATACGAGATTGCTTGCAGCCTGATACAGAATATTTGCCAGAGATTCCGTACACTCCTCAATTTTGGAAGAATTAATATTGGATGGTCTTATACTTTTGATGCCTGTAGAGCCGTCTAACGAGACGAGTGTTTTCGAGGTGCTTGTGATAGTTCCAGCGCAGTTCGAATAGACACTCACTCCATTTGTCAGCAGCTGCCTCTTTTGAATTCGGAAAACACGTGTAATTATCTACTCAATAGATTTAATTCATTCATTCAAACTGGTAACTTTGAAGCTTTAAATTTTGTAGCTATTGTATCAGAAAAAAAGGTGAAGAAAATCGAGTTGAAAGACGTATTAGAAAGATATCTAAGTAGCTCAGTTTCACAAAACTTTTCGATCGCAAAATTGTGGCATTTTTCTTGGCAGATCTCTCTGCAATATTAGCTGCAGAAACGCTGATATGAACCATTGAAAGTAGCAGAGCTGATTCCAAGGAATTCGTCGTTTCGTTTTAAAAAACACTTTATTTTTGTCGAACGGCTGCAATCGGATTCCGATGAGAGGCTGTGGAGGATGGAAGGTTTGTGTGGATTCGCCGTTTAAGTGCATGAATCGAAACTCACATGAGTCCAGCCGGCCAGCCGTCAACCGGCCAGCAGTCTCATTAAATTGTCTCCAGGGGTGTAGACTGAAGGACAAGCAAGGAATTTTGTCATATGAACTAAAATTCCCATACCGAGCAATTTGAAAATCCGGTTGCTGATGCTGATATGGAACATGCATGATGAGGGAATTAAAGCGATCTTTTGATGTACACTTTTTTTCTACACTTATGGTCAGTGCATGTGACCTCAAGTCGTGTTGTCGGCGATATTTGCAATCATTTATTAATCATTTGGGGTAAAGTTTTCTTTCTTGGGAAAGACATTTTCGAAAGCATTTGTAAATTAGTAGTTGTTCGATAAGTCAAAATATTTTTTTCTTTGGATTCTACGAGAAATTGAACGTGTTCCCAAGATATAAACCTTGAACATGTTTTGCGACTGTTGTGTAAGGTTTTACTTGAAGCGACGTAGGCCGGATAGAGAAAATCTTAAATTTACTATAAAAATTTCTAGAAATTTTGATTAAGTTTGATCTACAAAGGTTCAGCATAAGAATTCTAATAGTGCACTAAGCAGTTTAAAAACTAATATACACGCCAGTAGAGTGCAGCACTAACTCCATTGCTCTCAGCACTAAGTTATCAGGCTTAATGAAAGTGCACGAAATGGTTAATGTAAAGGACTTTCCTGATGGCTAGTCCTTTGGGAACGTTTACTGAACTATTCAAAGACGCGCCATCATAGCAGGGTAAAAAACGAGTATTCCATGATGTACGGTTTCTAGAAAGGAAATGACAAATATACATAAGATATATATACAAGAAAAGGGACACGCTAATTGCATGAAAGAATAATATATGAACCAAGATAAGACAATAATTAAACAGGATAATCAATAATACACGAAAACAAATGATAAATCGAACGAACCGAATAGCTTGGTTCCTCTGGTAGTGCAGGCATCCGTAAATCAAGGGCTAACAATGAGTACTGTCACGCTAGTGAAATCAACTGCGTCGAGCAGGCTAATTCTACTGCTACAAGTTTCAGAAAAAGGGAAAATGGCGGCTACTGTTAACATATGTTGGAAATTCATTGATAGTCGCCAACTACCATGAAGCTCATTAAGTTAGACCATAGAGCGGACAGAAAAAGTAGCTTATTTCAACCAATGGATTTTGTGTTCACCAACGCGTAAAGCTGCCATCCAAGCAGAGAGGAAAGAATCAACTTGCCCTACAAGTCACGTCCGCTGAAATTGCCAGTCGAGAAGCAAACAGGAGCAAACGCCTCCTGATTTGTCCTGTTAAAACAATGGGAGCTGCTGCTCTGAGCCAACAGACGCCTCTCAATTAAGTTCATTCTGCTCAGACTGAAGTGGTTGACAAAGGCGTGCGATGGAGCATTAACTGCAGCAACACTTGGCTGACAGGATCAGACATGACCAGGGTCTTTATCACTGGGTTTATTATGAGCCAAGACCAGGGTCTTTATCACTGGGTTTATTATGAGTCAAGACCAGGGTCTTTATCACTGTTTTTTTTACCAGCAAATACCACGGTAAAACGAATAAATCCGTCGCGGAACAAGACGCAATCGTAACTTTAAATAAAATGCGTTCCGAAGGTTCAAGGAAAAACACTCACTGACTTTTTTCAGGACCGAAAACGTGATGATCTTCAAGATTAAAACGCAGAAAAATATCAAAGAATAGAATATTATAAATGCTTCAAAGGGAACTATATTTTTGCGTATTTGCAGGATTCTTTTATTATACGGGCTAATATGAAATGTTTAAATCAAAGCCGATCGGATAGAAACTTCAATTTTCCGATAGGTTTTCATTAACAACGATTTTTATATGCCTCCTTTGATATCTGAAGCAGTTTGGTCGCCAAAAACTGTGCGCTATTTTTCAACGTTCATGTAATTGACCAAATCATCTTACGGCTTCAAATTGAAACGAAGAGAAAAGCTCCAGCATCCCATAGAAGTCGTTCAGCAGCGATTTCTACACGCCCGTTGCCATGAAAGAGCTCGTTGTCTCGGAACTCCGCCTCGGGATTTTACTTCAGTCCAGTTGGCCACGGTCAACAGAAGGTGTTTGCCTTAGGATTTTGAAGAGCTCAAAATTTGGTAGCTTTCTTTTGGCCGCCATGAGGACTCGTGAGACTTCGTCAACAAGGAGGAGAATTGGCACTAGTATGACATAGAAGTCCTTGGTGGCCGCTGTGTTTCTGGTGTGATGGCAGCTGTGTTTCTGGTGTGATGGCAGCTGTGTTTCTGGTGTGATGGCTGCTGTTTTTCTGGCGCGATGGCAGCTGCACTTTTGGTGCGATGGCAGCTGTGTTTCTGGTGTGATGGCAGCTGTGTTTCTGGTGTGATGGCAGCTGTTTTTCTTGCGCGATGGCAGCTGTGTTTCTGGTGTGATGGCTGCTGTTTTTCTGGCGCGATGGCAGCTGCACTTTTGGTGCGATGGCAGCTGTGTTTCTGGTGTGATGGCAGCTGTNGCTGCTTTTCTGTCGCGATGGCAGCTGCACTTCTGTCGCGATGACAGCTGTACTTCTGTCGCGATGGCAGCTGTACTTCTAGTGCGATGGCAGCTGTACTTCTGGCGCGATGGCAGCTGCACTTCTGTCGCGATGGCAGCTGTACTACAGGTGCACTGGCAGCTATACAGTACTACAGGTGCAATTACAGCTGGTCAAGTCCGGCTCGGATAGGAACTTTGATCAGCGATCGTCATGGCAGGGACAATACTTGTACCAGGCTATCTGCTTGGCACTTGCAACTTAATATCGTCGTAGCACTTACTTTTATCGTGGGACTTACTATCATTTCTATTTTTTAATATCATCGCAGACTTACTATCTTCGTAGGTTATGCTATCCTCGCGCTGGGGTCAAGAATCCAGAATTAATTTCGAAATAATTTCTCATCACTGCCGAGGAGAGACCTAACTTAATTGGAACTATTTCTGGCTTTGGAATCTAATCTTGTAATTGAATTTCCAAGTACTGAATTCTTATCGGATCTTGTTAAGATCCGAACTGAACACCGGTGTTGATAATTAATGATTAATTTGATGCTCAGAAATGTGATTCCCGAAGAGTTCTACGGGTGCAATTCAATTGAATTGATTGAAATCTTTTGCGGGTAACGAGTTTGAGTACAACACTTGTTGATAATACCTATTAGTTTGCTAGACAATGCAGGTTTTGTTATTAAGATTATTACATGTATATCATAGAGCATAAATTTATGTTTATATGAGTATAACTGAAGAAAACTTTCGACATTATTGACAACTCTATCTGAGCAGTACTAATTAACAACTGCTACTCATTTCTAAGTGAACAATAACTTGAAACGGCTATAATTATGAAAAATTTCCACTCACGAAATCAGTTCGTGGATATTCTAGCTTCTTTGTATGGCGACGAAAATCCGTTAACGCCTCCGCAACTCGACCATGAACACCGCCACTATAAAATAAGCCATACAAGCCGGCGTCTCAGACATTTTTCTGTTGGCCAGAAGACCTCAGGTGCTGAAGCGTTCGATGGTCTGGGTCCTCTAGGGACGAGAACTCAATTTTAGCTAAGCTTCGGTACGTCCGAGACGAAGTAACTGTAGCTGGGATAGAAATTCCGTTGTATTGTCCCCGTTTTAGAAACTTGAAGTTCGCGGCAGAATTATTCTTGTCAAGAATATGTAGCAGACTTCAATAAGATTATGTTTACGTGGGCTTTATGATTTTACAATTGTTCTTTTATTATAAAAAATTTTTCCACCATTGAATATTAAAAATATTTAGTTGCGGAGAAAAGTTTAAGGCTTTCAATCTGAATAAGTGACGTATCAAAAGTTTATTTTACGTCACCTTCTCAATGAACCTGCCGGAAAACAAAACTCGATCTTTGCCCTCAAAGCAAAGGACATGAGTTCTTGGATGCAGCTATAAAATTCCGTCTTTATGGCCGCAAGATCCGATTACAACAATAGAAATATTTTTCTCGAAGTCAATGGTTGCACTCGCGATCTCACAAGAATAAAATAAGGCACAAAAAAGTCAGTAGGTATCTATGCGGCACCGAAAAACATCTTCTATATCCCAGCATGAGAGCCAATGCAGTGATAATATTTTTCACAAAAGTTGGCATTATGGCGTAGGTCACGTGGCATCATAATTCGTTGGCACCGACACAGTAATTCCGTGGAGAGGCTAAACCTCATCGCAATGCGAAGCAGGCAAGCGGTCGCTCTGCTGCATCGCTCAACTAACGTATTATTTTTGAAGTTTGTCTCGTTTTTTGAAGTTTTGAAGTTTGCAGCGAAGTTGATGAAAGACACGAGCAGTATGTACGAATAACATTTGCGACGTGTCTTTGGACGAAATGCATTTAATTCCAGAGGTTTTACTATGGAATTCTCAATGAGAGCCCTCAATTAAAAAAGTAAACTCATCTGCTGAAAACGATACGAGTATTTTTGTTGGAGTTAAGAAGCAAAAATGATCACATTAGTGGCAGTGAAGTTCGGAATAAAAGTATTATCAGCCCATTTTTGGCGATGATAAATTAATGATGATAAGTTCTAAGCGATAGCCTCCTTGACCTAGCATCGGCTGGCATTTAGAATCGAAACCTTTAGATTCTGAAATTAATTTTTGGGTTTACCATCCCATCGCGAGCGCCTTGTTGACCTATACTCTTGCGCTCGAGGGAAGTCAATTCATGGAGATGTTCACATTCTGATGTATTGATAATTCTATTTATTCATAAATTGAATCGCAGGCGCTGTCTCTCAGAGCACTGCGTTAATTGCGAATTCTCACAGTTTACTGGAACTGTTTGCCCAGACCAATGTATGTAAATAATGCTAGATCCTAACCGGAACTAATGTATGAGTGAGAGGTGGCCATTAGGCTTGAGTTGTAGGTGACAATTACGCAGGATTAATGGGCGACCATTACCTATGATTAGTATGTCAATTCTAAATTCTCACCTCACACTTGTCGGTATTTTATGTTAGTGACTTTGTGTTAGTAAAAAATTTTATGACTCAATCATTCTACAAAGTACAGTCATATACTTTGTTATAGTGACTTTGTGTTAGTAAAGAAATTGAAAGACTATCATTCAACAAAGTACAGTCATATACTTTGTTAGTGACTTTGTGTTAGTAAAGACTTTGGATAACTATATCATTCAATTAATATTGACAGATAAATAATTTAACCTTGTTCCTGCAACTTTCAGAGACGTCATCGCACCTCCAGTTAATGTTTCGAAATGACACATACAGAGCGGCGTCAATGAACACAATCATGCATGCTTTGCACGATCATTCTAGGATTATGGGCATTATAGATTCATTAAAAATAATCGTTAAGGATACGATGGAAAATATTATTTGGGTTGACATGAATTGCTAAAAGATGTGCATTAGTAAGGTGCCTGAGTGTGTCACCAGGGCCACGCGTTATCAGTGCATCACTTGGGCCACGCGTCGTTGCCGCCCACCGTGGGCCACGCGTCGTTGCCGCCCCCCGTGGGCCACGCGTCGTTGCCGCCCCCCGTGGGCCACGCGTCGTTGCCGCCCCCCCACCGTGGGCCACCCTGGGCCACGCGTCGTTGCCGCCCCCCGTGGGCCACGCGTCGTTGCCGCCCCCCCTGGGCCACGCGTCGTTGCCGCCCCCCGTGGGCCACGCGCTTCACTCTTTGCTCACACGGACGAGAAGGAACGCTTTCGCTCACGCCGCTGCTGCTGATGCTGCTTCACAGCCCGTCCTGGCTTTTGTCTCTACGTATTATACTGCTGCTGCTGCTGGCTTTACTCCTGCTACTGCTGCAGGTGTTACTACTGCTGCTGGAGTTACTGCTGCTGCTGTGGATGCTGCTGACCTTACTACTGCTGTTGTGGATGCTGCTGACGTTGCTGCTGCCACTGCAGCTGCTGCAACAGTTGAGGAGCAGCCGCTGGCGCGCTGCTGAGGGCGCGACTGCAGGTGTCCCTTTAACGTCATCACGACGAGAGAGAGGAAGGGGAGGGCTCCGAGATTAGGGGGGAGGGGAAGAGTTGGGGGGCAGGAGAGGAGGGAGAGAGAAGATTTGTGCGAGGATAACGGGGCATTTGGGGGAGGAGAGGTCAGATCAAAGGTGAAAACGAAGTCTGTTGAAAAGTTTAGATTTAGAATAAATAATATAAAGCCGAATACGGAGGCGACAGGGAAGTCGTGGAGTTTCATTGAAGGAGTGGGAAGCGGTCAGAGAGATGACAGTGCGTGAAATAAAGGTTTCTGTTTTCATTCATAATTTCATTTTTTAATTTTTTGCCACGCGCTGCAGCACTCAACTTTCATATTAGTTATTTTTCAATTTGCCCAAAGTGGAAATATAGCGGGCACCTCTCTGCCTGTTCTCACATTTTAAGTGTCAGAAAAGCTTTGTCTTATTCAGAAAGCCTGTTAATTGCTCAATACACTTAAGAGAAGAATACCATTGCTCGGTTTTGTCACAGGATATATTTTCCTGTCCACCCTTTACTTTATATTTCTATGTAGGTGACCTGAGGCTGGTTCGTTAAGAGGTAATGATACGAGGATTAATTGAGAGACAGAGTCACACTTAATAGAATATTATTTGAAGATTATATACTGCTTACAGTTTATGGGAATAAAAGCTTATATGTCGGAGCATATACACAACTGTTATCGGCTCACAACTGAAATAGGGATGGGTCGGAGTATATATACGCCTACCGTTCTCTACTCCCGACTCTAGTTGACTTTACTATGCTTATGACGTGGATAAGAGTAATGGCTTACATACGGCTGCTCTCGCACAAGACTGAAGCTCCTGCTTCAAGACAAAACTTGTATATTTTGCGTTATATGGCGTCACAAGGCCTAAAGCTACTACCGCGATAAACAACGAAAGGCTAACACAATGAAGTGTAATGAACAGTTCGCAATAAAGGAAATATTTCAAATAGGAAGTTAATAAGATGCGGTAGTTTTTTGGGAACCTATTTAAGTCGAATATAAATTGACAATATTCTCATCTGACATCGACAACAGGCATAATTTAATTACAATCAAATCCTCTATAAAAATGTGCGTGATAAACATAGAATCTATATTCTGCTAGTCGTATGTACATCAGCGGTCTAAATGATGCATATTATTTGACTAATACATCAGAAATTAAATTCATCGCAGAAAAATTAAATTCCATTCGAGCCTCTCCAATAAATATTTTAGATTGGAATATTATGCTCATGAATGTAGGGATTCATGTCGACAATCATCACATGTTGAATGTTGAGCATCAAGGATACGCGGGATCTTTTTGTGAGTGCGGCCGTCATTTGGGAGGCTGAGACCTCAACAAAGAAGACGAAGCTTGTTGCGCTCGAATGACTGTGATGGTAATCGGAAATTTGAGTCGTTCGTTTGAGGCGAACCGCGTGCAAAAGACAGATCAAGAGCTGCGGCTCACGATTTTCCAGACTATGAGAGCGTTCACCGAAACGAGGGCTTTCGGGGAGTGGGAATCGAGAGTCTCGTTAGCAGTATATCAGCTGCTGATAAAAATGAGATTTTCTAGCCAGTTTGGATGATTTACGCGAGAAATTACATTACTCAGGTCACTGAGTAATGTTTATAAACTTTTGAACTATGGGCTGGCTTGTAAATTTTATCCAGTAGCCGACAAAACAGATGAATAACGAGTTTCGATAGCACAAATTTGCATGTCATTGTCAACAGCAAGATTTCGTCGACATCTCGCCTTGGAAAAATTAAATATTCTTCAAATTGAGTGCGAAAAATAAATCCAAGTCATGCATGTAAAGAAAATATTAAATAACATAATTCTTTAGTTCCATAGCAGGATCCCTTAATTGATGGGTGATTTCAGAGGCCTGCTTGGAGTCCAACGTCACCCAGAACTGGAGGCTATATGGAGCAGGCAGATCAGGGGGTCGAATTGAGTCAATTCATAATCCATCAGGCAAATGAGAATCAATCTTTTTCAATCTGTTCAATCTGTTCAATAATTTATTTCAATATGTGTGTGGGTCAATCTATTTCACTCTATAGTTGTCTAGTAGTTTACTTCGATTGAATATTTTCTTGGTCATTTTTGAGAACTGCAAAAATAATAAAGTATACGAAGTAAAGCCGTCTCACAATTAATCGAGTGCTTAATAACTTATAATCAACAGCATGCGATTTTTTGTATTTCAGGCATTAATATTGCAGCAGGAATAAAACTGGACTGCATGTTGGATGTACTTGAATTTCGTCGCGCAATGAGATGTGTGACGTGATAGATGTTTGACCCTTGCTTTCGACGTGTTTCACATCTTTGTTTTGACTGATTAAACCTAAAAATGAGCTTTTTGGATGTAGTAATTTTCTTTTCAATTATCAAGGTATCGGAATTTTCAACGATCACGTTCATAATAATATAGTACGGTTAAAAAAATGAAAATAATCGATCAGTCAGTTCATTTACTTGAACATCATGACTAAACTTCACCTAGAAAAGTACTTGAAACACTAAATGTCTAATATTTTTACAAGCTAATTTTATTTATATACCTGAACAGCATGACTAAACTTCACCTGTAAAAGTATTTGAAATACTAAATGTCTAATATTTTTACAAGCTTCTCACTCAACGCTGCGAATATCAAATACTTTACACCACACAATATGAAGTGCGCTTTAAAATACTCAGAATAAAATTAAATACTCTTTTTAAAGGTTTCTAAGGAAGAAACATCGAATAATTTTTTAGAGCAGAATTTTATATATTTATATATTTTATTTATATTTTATATTTTTATATATTTTGTTGGCTTTAAGCCAACATTCATAGATGAATTTTAGATGCTGATCTGTGAAATAGATGCTGATCTGTGAAAAAGTATTATTTGTATCGCAAGAAATTCGTCGTCAGCCTTCTGATCCTCTATGACGCCCTGTAAAAATTCAGATAATTTTCCAGCAAGAGTCTCCTAAATATTATCAAAGTTAGCGGTTTTTCTCCACAAGGGTAGACTTTTAATATTGAGGTACAATGAGTCGCTGGACTTGCTTATAAAAGTCCTGGGGGGACATCCCGCAAATGTTTCAACGGCGGACTTTTTGAACTTCGCCGTTGTGAGAAAATTATTTTTAGGGTCACGGAAAAATGGCTCTTATACAGGCCCTGCTACGTGAAACATCAAAATTTGACTCAACCACAGTTTATGGATTAAATTGTATTTCAATTGTTGCTCATATAAAAAATTGTATAATACACATTCATACATTTTATGTGGCAATGCATCATCAAAAAAGCTAAGAGTTATACGTTCGAGAGAACTCCTCAACCTCATTAATAATAAAAATTTACGTTTTACGTTTCAATACTGAAATAATGCACGTTTCTTCAATAAATCTACTTATAAAACGTCATTTGAATATCGGTTTATATTTTCTTACAGCAGAAGATTCATTTTAGAAATTACAAGTGATTCAGCAACGAAATTATATATTCATTCTGGCTTAAAATTTCTGGTCTTCTGTACCTGGCTCATTGCAGAAAAAATTAGTTTGGGTAAAAATGTGTACACAATATCCGAGTTTTGCTTCCCCAACTTATTTTGAAGCAAAGTTACGACGCCATTTATATATGTATGTTGTCTCGCCTCAGTTTAGTTTCACTCTTATATATCTTGTTAATTTTGGACCGCAGGATTACTGAACAAATTCATGGCAGGAAAATTTGCAAATAAACGCTCGAATTTTCGCCCCCAAAAGTGTTATAATCAAAAATTTGAAAATTAAAATGCAAATTTGCAACATATATTCAGGAATGATGGAATGCGTCACGTAAAGTTGAATATATTTCAGTGGACCACATGCGAGTGGCTGTCAGATTAATAAATTGATCAGATAACATTCAAAATCCGAGGAATTTCAGCTTTTGGTAGGAATAACTTTGGGAATCGAATGATGTTATCTCAAATAATTTTTAACTCTAAAAGAGATCATGATTATAATCCTCAATTCAAGTGCTACAGACGAGGCGAATTATTTAGTCCAAAAATTTCATTACTTAGTCAAATAAAAAAGGTTCTCCGTAATCTCTTTTTGAAGTTCCTCGCATTGGAGAAGTTGTGTGAATGCAAAAATAATGAAATTTTTGCATTGAGTTTCATTTAAAGCCTTAGACAACCAAAAGCAGACGGATTCTCACTGCTAGCATTTTCGGCTTTCACCCTCAGCTCGCTATCTATCTTTGCCATCGGTGAGCTTTGAAAGGATTCCGTGAACTCTAAACTGGATGACGTGCCTTTACTTCTAGGTGGCTGGATTACTAGATAGTTTCTGGCCTGTGAAGAACGCACTATTTCACTCAGAAGTTGTTTCAAAGTAAGAGAAAAATCACATTTGTTGATGATTTTAGTTAAAACGGTGGTTAACGCTAGAAGTGTTGAAATTAAGTATCAGACATTTTTCTGCCTTTTCCAATTTTAGTTAATATTAATCACCACCAAGTAGAAGAAATACCTAACAAAATAGTCTAAGCAAATAAAAAGTTGAAGCTGCATAAATATATCAAATGAACTGTATTCCAAATTATCAATCGGTTTCAGTAAAAATATTTTTTACGTAGGATTTTCTGTCAGCTTGAAACAACAATAAATGTACAGAAAAAATTTCGCTTTATCTTTTACCGATTTTCCAAAGCATAATCCTATATCGTTCCACTATCCTAAGAACTATCGACGAAAAAACTAATGGCGATTGAGTGTAAACAATCCATATTTTCGTAGAGAAAAGAATTGCTGGCTCGAGGATCTTCAATTCCTTGCCGTCCGGACGACTATCTAAACAAGTTTCTGATATTGCGCCGCCTCGGCCATCACGGTAATATTTTGCGACATCAAACCTGCGGTCTCAGCGGCAACGCTGAAAACATGGCGTTCACAGCGCGGT